ACCATTATCCGAGCACTCTGGTGGCTTAGCCAGTAATAAGTTGATAAGTATTGATAATATATTCTTTGTGATGTTTTCTTGCAGCTTTTGCTTCATCGAGTCACATTATATAATCATCTGCCTTCCTGGTGTGCAGTGATTTGCCCTTTTGGCCCTCTTTCATACAACAATCTATTTCATCTGGATTTTGATTACTCTGAGTAAATACATTATTATAATTATGCATATGTATTACTGGTATAGTTCCTTAAAAACATAAATATAGCCAAAGAGTATGTTTGACGTCTTCAGCTGACTTGACCCATGCTGATGTACAAAGCAGTGTTAAATGACGATTTCTCATGAATTAATCATTGCCTTCAATCCACTAAAGATGTGTAAGGGAAAGCCTATCACTTGTGACATATTGCCCAAAAACTTAAGAAATAGATAAAAAAGAAATGTCAAAAATATATTTTGGACAAGCTGTGGGTTTGACATTTGTGTTTTTTAGATGCCTGGACGTTTTGGGTCCCTGGAGTCTTTTTCTTCTCAGAGAGAGAGCTAATAAAAAGGCTGCCATTTGCACGCACATGAAACAAACTTTGATGCACTTTACTGCTGGCGACTGAGAAGAGCTTGGTCTATTGTTCAAACAGAAAGCTCGATGATGAAGATAAAAACTAAAACTTGCAAGGCAGAGCAGTAAGTCAACCGAGAGTATGCACTATGGACATATGTACTCTATCCTTCACACATGAGAGGTATGGTTGTCATTCGCTCATACAAAATGCCCCAGGCGGATTCGCACACGTAACAAATGTGTGAGAGAAGAATCTATAGCATAATCATATTGACAGAAACACACTTGCTATGCTTCACATGACTAACAGAAAAAAAAAAGAAGCAGAGACAGATAAATTGGCTGAGTGACTTCTGTCTCAAGGGAAGCTTTGTTAGAAGAAACAAGAGAAACACAAACATTAATCAATAAAAATGTTCCTTTAAAAAAAAAGACTTAATTATACTGTTTAGGTAGTCAAAATGCAATTACAGTTATGTTTTTCTCTCTGAACTTTCATTTGCCTGGGATTATACTGTACATTTTGTTATGTTTATTGACCCTGGGAAATTTGGAAGATTAATGTTGGATATGTGTGAAAGTAATTATATTTTGTTTGCTCTGAGTTGCGAGAAAAGCTCAAAATACACTTTGTGATATCATATAGTGGTAGTTTTCAAGCCAACAGCTACAATTTACCTTCTGTTCAGTAGAGATGAGCAAATCCAGGACTGAAATTATCTAAACTATTCTAATGAAGATGTATAGAGTTTAAAACATGGTGGAACACTTCCTTTATTGCCATATGACATCAGAAGGGGGAACAGAGGATTTTCAGTTTGAGTGAAGAACTCAGTCTAAATATGTAATATTTATGTGTTAAACATGTGTGGATGAAACAAAACAAATTAAAAATAGATCAGAAAATTGTCTAATATGTGCCCTTGTATTGTCTCCTCTTGTCCATGTTCTTTATAGTTTTCTCACATGCTTGACTGCACAGGTATATTGTGTCAGGAAATGATATGAGGGTCATTTGCTTTGGTGTACAAAGCGTCCTGATAGGTCACAGGTCAAAATCTCTTGCATGACTCTATATTGAATCTGTCACTTCAGTCACTGTTATGATGACATCCACAAGTGTATGTCTAATGTGAGATGACTGGCTATCACATGTTTTGTCCACTGACTTATTACAAAGCTTGCTTCATATTAAACCCTTTGCCATTCCTAAATTTATCCTGGGGGTTGCCATGGTGCCCTAGCATGAAGGAAATGGATAAAGATGTCACGATTCAATTAAGTTGGGCTGATAAAATTAATAGTCTATGCTATAAGAGAGCACACCAGTACAGGGCACGTCAACAGTGTGTCAGAGCTGTCCTGTCTCAATGGGGTCTACCAGCAGCTGTCTCCAGGATCAAAATGAACCACAGCATGAGTCAGAATGTCACCTCGATCTGCTGTGGACATTTTGGAAGAGGCCCTCATCTTTAAATGAAGTCCAATGTTGGACTTCTGGGGCTTCATTTATAAAGCACAAAACGAGGCCAGTAATGTACGTACGTAGGTCGTCCAAAGTGAACGTGAAACACTGTGGAAACACTGCACACCTACACGTAAAGTCTGGGGCTTACGCACTTTTTAACCAGGCTCAGAGGCGCGGGGAGCAGAGAGGAACTGTGAGGGGAGAGAGTTGAGGAAGTCATGTCTAGTGGAAGATTAAAACGGTTAATTTTGACTGAATCTCGCTCTTTATCACATCAGTTGCTTAAATAACGCACTTATTTCTAGATGATTAGCTGACAGTGTAAGTGTGTGTTAAAATACTGTTTCAGAGAAGCAGAGCTCACTTTTTCTCTAAAGTTCGAAGAGCCTGTGGCTTCGGCGTCTCCCCATGTGCCCCTCCCTCCACCCCGTGCGTCAATCAAACCCGCTCATTATCGGCTTATTATCGGTTTATGTTCAGGTAAATCTCATTTAAAACTCACTTTGCATTGTCCTTTTATGTGAAATGAAGGCGTTAAAGGGGCGCGACGTGAAGTGGGATCATGTGCGGAGGTTAGTGCTGCAGGTGTGGTCCATGAAGAGGACGACGTTTAAAAAAAAAAAATCACGTAGTCTACATGAAATCTGCGCTTTGTCCACACGAACTCTTTCAAGTTGATTTTGACGCACACTTTTTATACATATATATATAAATGAAGCCCCTACATGTCTGTAGTAGAGAATGAAAACATTCAGAAATTGAGAGGGAACGTGTACAAGCTTAATTAGGTAAGGCTATAGTAGGGTATCCAATCATAGTCAAAGAAGTTCTTTGTTTTTCAGCAAATTCAGTAAACAGCCACAAGTTAGTGAGCCATAAGGCTGGTTTTAGCACTTATCTGCAGCTCCCTATAGAGCAAAATCTGCCTGTACATGTGTCTGACATGAGAGAGCCTGCTTTAGACACCAAACACACACAAGGGAAGAAGCCTGTGTGTGCACACAATGCACAATATGCTCAGGCTGCTAGAGAAAGATGAGGTCTAAAAATTTTGTTTTGAAAAAATGAAAACATGTAACATAAGACAAAATCAACGCCAGTCTGCAGCTGCCTACTCCTTTTTTTCCTCCTGACAACTCTGTTCCTCTCCCAGCTGTGTGGAGGAGGTCGAAAGGATTCGGAAGATTTGGACAGCCGACCGAGCGCAGTGTGCACTACGGCCCGGGAGGCCTCTCCCAAGGAGTAACTTAGATGCATTATGCATATGTGTGAGAAAATGGGGAGGCTGGTTAATTATGTGTAAATCTTGTAACCTATAGTTATGGATCGCCTAAATAATCTTGTATTCTAACAATCCAAAGTAGATGTTTGTTTTTTCCGACCTCTTTACCTTAACTGCCTATGTCAAGGGTGGGCAAACTACGGCCCGGGGGCCGTATGCGGCCCTTTAAACCTTTTAATCCGGACCGCCGAACTGGAATAAATTACTATAATAAACCTTGTTAATGTTTTATTTTACCTGCATTTCCGGCGTGTCCCAGTAGATGGCGCACTATATATACTTTGAGGTGCGGCGTATTATATTGGCCGCAATGCTTTATGGAAAGTGGTCTTACAGGAGTCATTTTCGGGCTGAGTATTCGGACCATGAGTGAGGTAGAAGTGTTCAAGACATAAGGCTGCACTGTTTCCGTTTTACTTGGGCAGAGGAAAAGTTTGAAGATGCTGTTGTACGAGCGTAGCACATGGAGTGTCTTAAGAGTTTATTGCACGCGTAGGTGTTAACGTGTGTGATCTTGTGGCGTGGATTCTGTTTCTCAATGAGATTTAACTGTTATGGATACACAGTAGCTGGTGGTGTACAGTGCAGTGGCGTAGATCTATTCATTTATCACGTGTTCGTTGTAGCGCGTAGTGCGCGTCCTACATGAGTCTACATGAGCGTAAATACGAGGGCAATGGGGCCGAGCTCTTAACACGTCATGTCCTGTCTTCTGTCGCCCTTCAGTCAAATTTTAGTACCCTTTGTGGCCCGCAAGCCAAAAAGTTTGCCCATCCATGGCCTGTGGTCGTCAGATTCGATTCGCTAACTGGCTCCACTGAGATACCTTCACGAGTTGCCCTCGTGTTCCTGTATCGGATGGCAATACCCACACAACTGCGCGGGGCTCGTGCCATCTGCTCAGGCTCACACGTAGCCTACAGGTGTCCCTCAGGTCCCACCCGCCGGCTGTTCTGTGTCATCACTGCGTCCTGTCTGGGTCTTGTCATCTATCAAACCTTTCAGTTCACAACATTTAGCCTAAATCAGACCCTGTGCCGCACAGGCTACCCTCCTCAAGTCTGACATCTCAAGTCTCATTACAGTTAATGCCAGTTTAGAGCCGTTAATGCGCTCTGACTTCCCACATGGTTTGGATGTCATTAAGATTGTTCAGTTTCATAATCGACGTGTAGGTTATTTTAATAGAGCCATGCGTGTAGGTCTAATTTTATGTCTAAGGGGTTCACTGGAAAAAAGTAATGCTGACCTCTAGTGGTGGCAGTTTGCACACAACAGATATGAAACATCAACAGTGGTGTGTTATTATTCTGAAGGCCAGGATTGTCCCAACTTTTTTCAGCAAGGACTTCATATTGAAACTTTTAGATGGAAGCATTCTAAAGGATTTGCCCAAGCTAACACACCTTTGCCAAGCTTGGAATGCCAGGTATTTTCCTCTACAAATTATTTAATACTGAGGCTATTTTTATGCAGGTCATTTTATATGACTAATTTTTTTACTTGGCCTACATAGTAGGCCTACATGTCATGACAGTGGGATTTTAAACGAGAAGTAAAATCATGATAATTTTGCACAAATCATATGGACGACAGGACATAAACATAAACTGAGGTTCACATTTACATCTTTTAATGAAATGGATTCATTTTCAGTCAAAATATGCAACACAATTTAAAGTTAGAGAAGAATAACTTTATTTACGTGTAAACAAAAACAAACAAAACTGCATAGGAAATGTTTAAAGTCCAGAGAGTACAGGGACAGCAGCAGGTGGCCAAAGTATTATAGTCTCCTCTGCCTTATTTAGAGTGGAGACCTAACAGTTGTGCTTCCCCCAGAGCCGTGTGTGTTGTAGAGGGAGGGCATGTGCTGGCTCATACACTGGTCAGTTGATATAGACACACTACCCAGGGAAAAGCACCAGCAGCACCCATCTAAACTCAGCCACTGGCCACACTGCGCCTCCCGCCTCTTGGGACTGTGAGGAGTATACATTCAGTGGATTTCTGCTCGGACAACACAGATGCAGCGCACACACAAAACCCACACTTAACATAAAAAAGTGTCAACAGGTCAACAACACAAGAGGGACATGTGCCAGTGTGCCCAGGCTCCTGCAGGGTGGTAGTGCCGCTCATTCAGCACCAGGGTCTGGGCACAGAACCACCTGTCCACTCCTGAGCTGAGGGCCTATTCTTGTGTTAGCCGAGTGTGCATCAACAAGAGCTCATGAAACCCTTTTCTTCACAAAATACATTCTAAAAGAGTTCATGAGCATCAAGTGGTGTTTTGTATTTGTACTTCTGGTAGAAAGAAAACATTGGCAAAAATATTAAATCAAGGGAACTAATCAAAAAGCATTGAAGATTGGGAAATAATCTTATATGTAAATGGACACACAGAGGGACTAGTACAGGGGAAAAACACTACAACATCACTATGGGACACAATGTTTTAATGAGACAGCTGCAGGGCAGGGCTGCCAAGATCTACCTGAGTTTTTTTTTTTTTTTTTTTTTTCCAAACTTTTTCGGCATACAATCATTATAAGGTCTAAGACCTTGCACATATAACCTGGTGCAGTTTGCTTTTTTTCTCTTAAAGCCATTTGAGGGCTGAAATAAAATGATGGACAAAGTTCCTGATTAAAATCCACTCAGCAGGAGTGCAGTTAACTAACTGAAGCTGAGCGGTCATCACCACCAATCTGATTTGAACCCTGAAGACAGGCTGATTGAGTGTTTGCTGTAGTTACTGCTGTAGTTACTGCTGTAGTTACATGGCTGCTTCCAACTCAGCAAAAGATGTTCAATGATATATTCAAAGAATGTTATAACAAGTTTCAGAGCAAACAATGAATGAACAGTCAACATGTCCATAGATCTACTCATATTAGTTTAGTACTAATGCTCAGAAGCACAAGGCCTTCTGCATGTATCAAAACCCTGCCAGGTGTCAAGAAAGAGGCATGTGCTCTGCAGAGTCTCAAGAGAATAGGAAATACAATCGCAAAGGTCAAAGGTTAATTCCATCCAACACTAACACACTTAAACATCTTTGGGTATATAATTTGGTAAAACCATTCCAAAAGCCAGCTTTTAACCCTATCAGTTTAACACCCATCAAAGAGACACCAGTATTATACAAGGACTTTTAAAGCATGCAAAATATGGAACAAACAAGGTTTAAAATATATTTTTGCTCTTTAAGAGTGAAGACCTAAAGATCTTAAAGATAGATAGATAGATTTCTGCAATCTTAAAAAAAAAATGCTGCAAACATGAATGGACATATTTAACAGAGTAATACTGAAATCAAACTGAGGTATGAATGAACATGTGTTGGGATCAAAGCAGCAGAATCTGTGGACCGAAGGCTGGTTTACTGTGCTAAAGCTCCAAATATTGAACCAGCCATTTGTCAACATGCTAAGTATAATGCAATGTTGTTTTTAAAACACACATCTATTTTCTTTCGCCTTCAGACACTAAGCATTTTAAATCCACTGTAATTGGGATATACCATATTGTGCTGAGAGTGAAGCTAACTGCACTGCCTTCAAAAGCAAAAATGAAGTTTTAACTCTTTAAATAGAGGCATCCTCTTCTCTAACCTCTATGCACACAGTAACAGTGGAATTCTGAGGTCACATGGTTATGAGGTCAAGATAACAAGGGCCCAGCCCTCTTAAGTGCATCTGAACAGAGGCTGATGTATCCCAGTGCTCTGATTCAACAGATGAGAAACTGTCCAGTGACACCTGTGCTTAATCACAGCGTTCAAATGCCAACACTGTTTGGCACAGAACTCACACAGATCATTTTGGCACAATGCTCAAAACGGAAAATATTTGGTTTGTTAATGATAAAGGCAAAGTTAACCAGGCAACTGACAGCAGACTGAGCACACCATGCATATACATGGATGAAGTGTGGAGGGGTAAATCAAGAACATCTTCTGATGCACTTTTAAACAGTACCATGATCTTTGGTCCGAGAGCTTTGAGACATGTACTGCACAGTAAGAGTAACACAATTAAGTATACTAGTATTTGTAATGTATAAATAGTCTAATGAGGTATGTAAAAATATAAGTACAACTGAGGTATAAAGAATGAGGTACATGAAACAAACACATTAAACACATCTGAATGTTGACACAGTAGCTCTGTGTGACAGAGTCTACTTGAGGTATTCATAAATTACATGAGGTTGTTGAAAGACTGTTGAGGTCTGGGTGGCTGGGATGTGAGGATGCTGATCCCATTCATGTGCAGACAGGTCTTTCCAAATCATTGGAAGCCTGTTGGAAACTCTTTTCATAGGTCCCAAGATTCCTTGCTAGGTCAGGAAGAAGTTAATTGTTTAGTACTTTCTATGGGACATTGATCAAATGGATTGTGAAGGGATTTGACCCTCATAACAAAAGGGAGAGAAGGACCTGATAAGAGAACTTTACTGATATTTTATTGGATAACAAAAGTTGCTACCTTGAGCCTATGGACAGTTTATTCAGTGGAAGAAGTGAGATAGAGGGCAAGGCTTTCTTTGGTTTGGGTGTACTCTGTTGACAATAGAAATATTTATGAAGATTGAAAACTAAACTGCTAAATACTTCAGATCAGATGTGAATTTAAACTACAAGGAACATTGGACATCCCAACAATGATTACTTTGAAAACATTTTAAGGGGATTTCTAGTTTCCATTATTGCCAAATCTAGGATTGGCCATTGTGCAGAAATCCCAACTTTGGTTGACTACAGTAGTTGTTCTACAGACCTCCTTCTTTAAAAGGAGAAATCTACCTGTGCCCCAACATGAGAGGCCAATTCAGCTCTCAGCATGATCAAACAGAAGAGTTGGGGCCACAACAGGGGCCCAAGGGAGCAGCTTTTAAAGCAAGGGTCCATAAATGATAATGTGAACCTTTAAGATGAGGTCCCTTGACACATTGCCCATTTTGCTTTTCCATCATGTATTTGAGACCCTTGTCCCACTAGATTCCTCAAACAAAATAGTGTAATAACAATTTGATAAAATATCTAAAACAAGATTAAATTACTCCTGGATAGTTAATCTAAACGTTTTGGTGGATTCTCTTATTCAGAGAAAACTGCATTTGTGCATACTGTTGTTTGCATTTTACTTGTTTAAGTGACTTTAAATTATGCAAACCTGTAAGTTATTCTTGGGGTAATAAGGGAATATGAGGAACATTCTAATATTGATTAAAATAATCTTCAAATAGGGACAATTTTATTGAACAATTTTGCTCATAATAAATTCATCTAGCATAGCATATTCTAAGGTTATAAACCAGCAATGCTATGGGCGGGTGCCTGAAACGGACTGTGCCATTTTCCAGTCCTGTATGACCTGAGCTAATTTAGATTTTATTAAGTTTGGCATCGTTTTGCACTCTCATTCCACTAAAGCCTCAAACTCCTTAGATCAACAAGGAGGCAAAACTTGATGCACTATCTAAAAAAACAAAAAAGAACTACAGATTTTAAGGGAAACCTCTATACACTAGTTTCCTCTCCCAGCAAAGCCTTCTAATAATGAATCATGCAGCCTCTACAGCGGTCTGAGTATTGTCTCAGCAACAACATTCAGGAGGTTCACGGTTCTCATCTCTATGCACAGCAAAATTCCATCAATCCTGTGCAAATTTCAACTGAAGAGTCCATTTTGTCTCTCTTAAATAGTATAGAGGTAGACTTTTCTTCTTTGTAAAACTTCACGGACTAAACCTCTGCTCGTTGACTATGAGTACATTCATAAAGAGCTAAATGAGGTAGGTATGGAGCAGAGGATACAAGATTTCAAGAAAAAGTGAGAAAATCCCTGAGATGAAACCTAAGGAGAGCTTGCAGAGAGGATTCAGGGCAGCCTGAGGGAAGGAAAATGGCTCTATTTAGACTGATTATCATTTTGTCATTTTGACAGCTGATTAAAAAAATGTCAGTATAAAGGCAAAAGCTCTTGCCTTTGTATAAAACTCCCCTCACTTCAACATGCTCTGAATCCTGGCTGAGCTCTCCTTCTGTTCTGTCTGTTGATTCATTCTCTGTCCTCCATTTCCTTCATCAACTGTAAAAGGCAAAACAGAGGACGAGAATGTAAAAATAAAACTTCTTAGAATTTGAGAATACGATTATTTCCAAAGTCTACAACTACAATGACTCCATCGGGTGTCACCGCTACACCAGAGGGTCGGTCCATCTGTCCAAAACCACTCCCTTGTGTGCCAAATTTGCATAAGAAATTTCCATTGGGCTCAAACACTTGTATGCGATGATTGCGAGAGTCAGCCACAATGATGCGGTTCTCCTGGTCCACTGCAACACCCTGGGGCCTAAGAAACTGCCCGTTCCCTGTGCCCTCGGAGCCCAGGAAGCGGGCAGATTGGCAGTCGGGTCGGATCACCAGGAGGCGGTGGTTGTTGAAGTCGGTCACCACCAGATGGTCCTCATGGTTAAAGGCCACTCCTCTGGGAGAGTCAAAGTGTTTCCACAGAGCCCCCTCAAAGCCATACTTATTGAGGAAGGAGCCATCAGGGGCGAAGAGCTGCACACGGTGGTTCCTGGTATCGGACACAAGGATCTTACCCTCAGAATTGACAGCCACATCCCATGGATAGTTGAACTGCCCATTCTTTGTGCCCTTTTCCCCAAACTTTAGCAGGAACTGGCCCTCAAAAGTAAACACCTGTCAAAGGAAGCAAATGCATTCAAGTTGTAAGTGTTTACATGTACTGTGCTGGGTGAAGGCATGTGGAGCTCATGTTTATCCACAGATGTAATGTTTGTGTTCCACTAATCCAACACTGAACATCTGGGGTAAACTCTTATGTTTGACTTGGTCTATTTAAGCATACAATATACAATACAATTACAAGTATGTGCAGACATACCTGAACACGGTGATTGTCTTTATCAGCCACAATGATTCGTCTCTGACTGTCACAAGCAACCCCAGCTGGACGATCAAACTGACCAGGGCGAGAACCCAGAGAACCAAACTTATGGTGGAATGCACCACAAGGCTTGAATATCTGAGGAATATAAAATAATGGTAAAAACACACATTACAGATTTCAGTCACAGATTTCACATTAACTTTAAGTTGATACTACACCTGTATACGGTTGTTGCTGCGATCTGCTACCACAACATAGCCTTCCTTGTCCACACTGATGCCCCAGGGCCGGCATAACTGGCCGTCTCCTTCCCCCTCACAACCGAAAGATGACACTTGAGAACCTAATGTCCCATAGCAACGCCCAGATTTCACCATCAATTTAAAGGGGCTCCCCTGAATGTGCTGGTTACACACAAGCACAGAGACAAGGTGCTCGCCCTCACATTTGGGCAGGTAGCCCACTGTGTACGAGCCATTCAGGTGGTCTGTCACCTCAGCTGCAGACAGGTTTCCATCTGCAGCAGACATGATGATAGCAGACACAGCATCCCCACCAGATAGGCGTGGCTCACCATCATGATCATATCCAATAACAGTGAAGGAAGCAGGCTTGCCCCGGAGCGCGCTTTTCAGACCTTCTCCATGGGCTTTAGTAACTGGGGCAAATGCTCCACTGCTGATCAGGCCCATGGATTGGATGGCTATGTAAAGAGCCTGAAAAACAGAGGAGAGTTATGCTTTATTTAATTTCTCCATTTAAACTGAATAAAGCATGTGATCTAACACAGTACTTGGTCTGGAGGTGTGAACATGAAGCGGTCATCCTCCTGTGGCTGAAGTAGGCCTCTAAGAGCTTTGAGCTCATGGATCTGTGAGAGCATGCGTTCTCTTGCCAACAGCACGTCAAGATGACGTCCTTCATCCAGTACCTGGCTGACAGCAGCAATAGTGCTGTCCAGTTTGGTCAAACTTTGGTGTAATTTTTCCACCTGAAGGTACAATGACTTGGCCTTCACCTGACGAATCTTCTCAATCTAAAAACAAGAAAAAGCCACATTTTGCTGTATGGAATTGAAGAATCATACTTTTTTTTCCCAGCAAAATATGCACTATTATTTTTTTTTTAAACTTGAAATAAAGCACATTCTGCTCATGAATGTACTAATAAAAGGCATTTAAACTGTCTGTGGTTGCATAAAGGGCCACAAGAGGGCAGCAAGAGATGATGAGACAAGGTTTTCAGCTGGAAAAGTGGTACAAGATTTGACAAACATAACAAATATAACTTTTATTAATAACTACACTTTTGACAAAAAGAGCGATGTTTTACCAGGGTCTATATTACCTATATTAAAATGTACATGTTTTAGTCACTGAACGTTCATAACAGAGAACTATTACTATTTGGCTAGAACTGATACCTCCACACTGTCCACTGTCATCTGTAATACTACAAAATATATATATATTTTTTCCCATTTATTTTTTTTTTGTATTTTAAACTGCTATATACGTATTACCTTGAATAGATTTTCGATATCTATCTATCTACATATCTATCTATGTCTATCTCTATATCTATATATATTTTAAGCTTAGCAGGAAACAGGTAAACACAGAAGGTGACCTATACATGTAATTATTTTAAAAAGGGATAGAGAATATAAATAAGTACACCAATTATCACAAGAATTTCTGGTCATTGTCCTGGTCTGAACTCCACAGTTTGAAATGGTCACGATTGGTATTAATGACATTATCAGAAGGAGATGAGGAAGACTCATAGTGATGTAAGAAGGATTAGGACTGAACAAGACCAACTGAAGACCTTCTTTATGACACTTTGACCTGAACTGACTAAAGCCTGCTCAGACGCACAGCACTCAGTTAGGATAACGTTAGGGAGTTAGAGCTAGTTGGTTCATAACAAAACACTGGTCATGTAAAGCTGGAACCAGAATATTACTTAGAAAATGTATTTAGTTACAGAATACTGAATACTTGCATTAAAATGTATTTTGTAATTGTGCAATCGGTTACATGGTCTAATTAGATCATGGTATTCAGAAGATTTTTCAAATTATAGTGTAAAAATGCAACCAACGAAGAAAACAATTTCATGTTTGCTGCACTGTGTGTAATGTCTCTATCATATCTCTCATCAATACCATGCAGTTTGAAGCCTAGCATGGTGTGATAATATATGGCCATTTCTTTGCTTTTATGAAAATAACTGAGTACCACTATATAAAAGAGTCACAATCTCAGAATACTTACTCAGAAGTTACTCAGATTTGTATTCTGATTATGTCTTTTTGGTACTTAGTATGATAGCAGCGGTGCAGCTATTAAACTCATGGTGTAAAATTCAATTAGCGCTCAAGTGAGAAGCACTAAACCTGCTAAACTGTGCTATACTAATTGTTGTTAACTGCCAGCATAAACGGTTTACCTTCCACAGTAGTTCACACTCCCGTTCCTCGAGTGCTTTCTTGTGTCTTAGAACAAGAGCCTTCACTTCAGTCTGCACCACCTTGGCCTTGATCTCCACCTGCTCAGCCATGGACTGGACCTTCTCCATGCTCAGCTGGGGAGCAAAGAGTCAGGGCTTACATTGTAATAATCTGAAATGTTAAACGGCTTCCAATAACAATCATCATTAAGAAAATGTGTGGTATATTGATTGATGACTATTTTAGGTGCTCATAAAAGACACGAACTATGAATCATTGTTACAAATCAAATGTCTTTAACCTTGCTTCTAACACAGCTGTGCGGTTGGAAAATACTACTTGAAAATGTCATGGCATTTCATGGGCTCAACAACATCAGCCAATCTTATAACATGATACCTGTATCCCATGAATAGTGAGCAGTATATCCAATCATGAATAATACTGTGAATATTCTTCTGAAGATATGAAAAATATGTATGTGTGTGAAAAAAAAATCCAGGGTATAAGATCTGCTCTTTTCTGAGTATTTTACAGTTCTTTCATATTTGTGTGATATTAAAACCTCAATCAGTTTTTCAACTAATGTTTGTTAGATGTTTCAAAGTATTTTCTGAATTGTCATGGGGATAATCTCACAAACAGATATGACTCAACACCACATTTTCCTTAAATTTTAATGAATCGGAACAATAATACAAGACAGGATACTACTTGTTTCTTTTGTTTAGTTTTTTTTGTTTTGTTTTTTTGAGAATCTAAGCACAAACAAAGGAATATGGCACTGATTTATGCCAGGAATTCTGCAATTAAAAGGAAGAGCTTTGAAGAACACATGATGTGCATTTTTGTGTTTTATTTGGCCTTTCCTCTGGCTCTTTGGAGGAGGTCATGGGGTGATGCAGACCTCACATGGACAGAGGGGAGGTGGGATAAGGCTCTCTTTGTGATATCGGCCACAAGGATCATAGGTCAGCTAAACCTCCACAGGTCATGATCTGCAACCCCTGTCTTAAGACCCACTGCGACAACCCCCACCCCACCCCTGGAGGAATAAAGCAGGGCAGCAGGCTCCTTTACAATTTGGCATTCCAGTTCCAGTAATTCCAAATAAAGACGGTCACCATGGCTGAGGAGAGGATGCTAAGAAAAGATGCAGTCAAACAGGAACTAAACTGAATATTTTAGAGATACCAAAGCTCATTCTTGTTCTATGAGATTGAGTATATCCATTTGACACATGCCATAATGCCGTAACTGCTATCTCAGTGTGGGGGACTACATTCTCACTTTTATCAATATGACAACAATCCCAGAGGACTGAGGCATGCAGAAGAAAGAGGGCAGAATGACCAATCAGAAAGCCCAGCGGAAGAGGTGTGGCAAAGCAGAAGGTCATAAGTCCAGGGTCAGAGGTCATGGTAGATAATGGATATGGAGTGGGCGGAAATTTCCTACCTCAGGGGACAGGAGTGTATGTGTGTTTGTATACTATCTGGCGTCAGCATTTACCCCTGTGTGACCAATGACAAATACATATGACCATCTGGCAGGCGTCTCTCTTTGTGACTTAGCTGCAAGCTGGTATTAGTTAGTCTTTTGTTTACATTTCACAATATATAATATAATTACAGAATGGGTGAAATGGTCTACCTATGCATTGCACAATGATGCTCAGCAAAACAAAGGTAAAAGTGAGAATGGGATAGATGAGACTAAACTGAGGAGGAGATCACAGTGTCACATGACCCCAGTTGCTACCAGCTAATGTTTCATGATTGTAACCAAGGTCATGACACAGACACATCTTCTCTGTAAATTAGGTGCACTTTCATAGCTTTTAAACTACACAACTAAGCTATTTTTAAGTAGTTTAGAAACATACATAAGATGATTATTAACCTGTTAAAAGCTTCAGCCTATGCCTTTTCAGTATTGTATTTGATTTAAATAAGCTAAATTCCAATTTATTTAAATCATTTAGTACATTCATTGAATGAAAACTATGTTAACGTTGCAATGGAACCATCTTCTATCTTCCTGATTGCATCAAACCAAGCAACAGCTGGTGTTTTGCATACAATCAAAAGGTGCCACTTCAAGCAGTAGGGTTCCTTTCACTACAGTATAGCGACAAACAGAGTGGGGTCTGTCAAGCTACCTTCCAATCTATAATCATTGAAATGAAGGAAGGCTTGAGCTTATGTATGTGCATGGGGTGAGTAATGGCATGGGTAAGCAGCTGAATGAGTATGCTCATGAATGGCAAGAGAAAAAAGTTTCACTTCTTTCAAAAGAGAAGGGGAGTTTTCCATTTTCTGACATCCTTTAAATACCTCTTTTACCCTCCCCCAGCCTCCTCTTCACTCCTCCTCCCCTCTGACCTTCAGCACTGCCCCCAGCCAGACCTCACCCTGAGTGACCTACCCCCGCTCGGGGCCAGCTGGACATCTCAACCCCAGGGCTCCTTGCAGTATTGGCCTGGTCACTCTCAAATGTATTCCTCACTTAATGCATGCAAGGATGATTAGGCATACATTTTTTGTACTGTAATTAACGTTATACCTAAGGTTGCTAAACAGTGGCTTTTACAATATGTGTACTTGCTCATTTCAGGCTGCTTTATTTACAGATATAAGTTCTGTTTAAGGCCCAGATCTAAAGCAAGGTCACAAATTCAAACAATATTGTGATTATTCCTTTCATGTTAAATTTACTTTAAAAAACATACCATAAAAAAACTCTCTGGTTGAGGAGATCAATACTATGGTACAATGTCTCACCTGCACAGCCTGCCGTCCCTGTTGTGCGTCTGACAGCAGCTGGATGGTGATTGCTCTGCAGTCCTGCACAGCATCCTGGAGGTACACAAACGTGTGGCCCATGTGACGCCCCACGCTGCACTCGCGACAGATTGGCACAGAGCACGATTCACAGAAGAACAAGAACACCTAAGGAACAAGGAAACACATATATATAATATATATTTACACACAGTTTAGATCAAGCATGTACCTTTTATACTTGTAGTGGTACAGCTGGAGGAGGAGAAAGAAGTAGTGATAAAAGTTATGGTTATATAAATGTAAATAGTGACTTTTTGCATATTCGTTCAATGACAAAAATGAATAAATGTATTAGTCTGCATTAGAGCAGGGCAATTTTGTCTGAAAATAAAATTGAGTTGTTTTTTTTTTTTTCTAAAAAAAATATTTTTGATCTTTTCCCCTCTCCACTAATTTTTTTATTTTTTTTTTTTTTTACAAACTATAGAAAATGGTTAAAAAAAATTATACAGTGATCATATTGGCCATTGGGGAAAAAATAAACTTTTGCATAAAATTTTGGAGCTGCATGTTTAATTTGATGTCACAGACTGAATGTCAAACTAGTGCTGCATGGCCCTGTGCTAAACTTTGCTCCCTGTGACTGCAGTAAGCATTCTTTCTTATATTTCAGTGCAATTTTCAAAGGGGAAATACAAAAAGATTTTTTGAACTTCAAATTTAATTAATTGATTTAATAGATTTTTTACCCAGCTCTGCACTGTTGAATCTTTTAATAAAAAACATATACTTTTAATAAAACTTTAATAATATACACTGGCAATTATATCCAAAAGACACCCGATCAATGACCTGCAATGCAAGACGAGCTTCTATTGGAGGGGGAGGGACCTTGCAATCAATCCATCAATAATAGCTGTCCCCTGGGGAGCAGCATAATCTAATGAGACACATACAGAGAACACTTCCCCTTGATTGCACCCTATGCAGCTTGCCCCAAACCTCTCATGGAGCCCATTCTTCCTCCTCCATGGCCTTCTGCCTAGCATCCTCTTGTAGAGTCTGTGGAGCTCTGTCACTCACATCCCACCCCCCTCTTGAATGAGACAGAACGCACAATAGTAAAGAATGCAGCTGGGCAGAAGTGGTGGTGCAATGGAAGCAGTTCGAGGTAAGACGTACAGCACTGGCAGAGAGAGACTCACGTTGAAAGTGTTGGTTGGACTATTAGATCAAATATTGTCAGGTTTTAACAAGTACTGACAAGAACATTAGTTAGCAATACATTTTGTACTGAAAAGCAAAAGGAGCAGAGCCCACTTCCCAAAAACGGTGTAATTAGGTCATGCTAATTAAACATGCCAATAACTTTTATTGCAGACCACCTGCCACCAACAGAGGCCTGTTCCTGGTAGGGTGCAATAAAATGAACTTCTACTTCTACAATGTTGCCCTAAATTATTTAAAAAAGGGCATGTTATTCTCTGAAGTGTTTTATGAGAAAGGGAATGTAACAATTAACTTTAAACAATAATCTAAAAAGAGAATATTAACAAAGAATTGTTCTTAAATTCAGTTACACAATCCATAGGCCACTGCATGATGACTGAAAGATGTGTTTATGTATGAGACTAACCTACGCCCAATTCTGTATGCAAAGTACTGCACATATGGAATTAGGTAATTTCTGGATTAAATTTGCCAAAAATGTTTCAATATCAATATGTTTATATCTTACAACAGATAATACTGACTTCTTACAGCTAAGTGACATCAGTATAGTAGGGTTCCAGGTAAGATACGTTTTCCCCACTACCTACTGCTAGTGAATAAGATTATGTAATAAACTGGCCTCTTGGAATGCCAGTCAATATCATCGACTGAGGATACAGGTTCTTCCCAGTGGTCTTTATGGAAGGATCTCATTTCCTCCCTCCGTGCCACCTTTTCCACTCCCTCACTCCCAAAACCAATTATTGACAAAGCTTAAATTAGAAGATGAGCAAATAAATACTGTTGTAAGAAATAAAGATTATTTATAAAAAATTAATTAGAGCTGTACAGTACTGTAATCAATTACTGAACGTTGAAGGTCTTCCTCAGAATACTAGATTAAGAATAGAAGGCTAGTTAAAACCTACTGTAAACCAACTGATATTTTATGTAAAATGTAATTGGCTGTGTGTCTAGTGAATGTATTTTCACTGTTAAATGAAAACAATTTCAAAAGTATTTATTTATAAAGTATTTATGGTGGCTGCACACGGCCTGGGCTTAGACTGCGAAGCAAGCTGCGGTGTCTGATAGCCCCTCCCTTTTCTTTTCCCCCTCCCCCTGTAGGTACTGGGAACTGGGGGAGAGGGCATGAGCTCAGGCAGCCAGTAAAATCACTCCATGCAGCATTCGTTGACCGCGTGTACACCGCAGCAGTGGGGGAAGGGACAAAGGCCATGTTGTGTCCAAAAAAAAAAAAAAAACGGACAGGCTACTCTGCTATAGGCAGTATAAGAAGCATGCAAAGTCAATGCAAAAAGTTAAATACAAAACATATTCATGTAGACATGTTCTATACAGTAAGAACAAAAGTATTTTTTTTATCCTATAATATTTACCTAAAATCTCCATTTTACACATCTGAAATCAAACAATAATTTCAATCTTGCATACATGATAAGTCAAAATTTAGGACATTTATTTTTTTTTCCTCCTAGTACTACAAACACTGACTTTGATGAACTGAACCATAGGCCTTCCCAGGTCAGTGACATGTTTTGAAATTAGTACTTTCTACGAGCATCACCAACTTCACAAACATTCCTTAAGAGTGATGTCAGGTTAGCAGCGGCTTTAGAGAATAGAATTGAAAGAAATCATTCCACACACACAGACAACTATAGAGAGTTTGTTGTTTGATTTAGTATTTAATTAATATATTGTAGTCAAATTTGTTACTTAAATTTAAGCAAAAGAGGATTTTTTTTTTCCCTTTTTCTAATGTGGATCAACATTCCTATGTTTTTCCCTTCCTCATCATCTGTTTGCTGCTCTTTCTTTCCAGTGGCAAACCTTGTTGGCTTTCTGCCATGGACACAGGACATGCCTGGCAATGTTTTGACACTCAGCCAGATACAACATAGGGGGGCGGTGGCCATAAGCCAGCAAGCTGATTGGACGGTGCCTGCAGCGGAGAAGGAAAACAAACCACAGTCAGCTGGCCTCCTTAGCCAACAAGCATGTGACTGGGAGTTGCATGTTTAATACTTGGTGTGTAAAAAAATGGCAGACACATGAGAGAGGGAGGAAGGGAAAGATAAATATCAAGGTGAAGAGTGACTAAAACAATAGGTAGGAGTGGAAGATAAAAAAGGTAGAAACATGAGAGTCCAGTTTAAGAGCAAACAAGGGCTGAAATAGAGACGCTGTGTGAATGAAATGTGGAGCAGCTGGGCGTAACCAATACATACAACTGTGTACAGTATCCTGCAATTCTTAGTTAATGAGACTTTCGAGGGTACCACAAACACACTGCATCTTTTCAGTCACACTACACAAACTAAAAAATAGACTAGACTATTTTTTCCATTTTTGAAAACCCCACTAGTCCATCTATTGGCTTTGTCAAAGCAGTACACATGATCAGCAGATCAACCTGTTAGACTAAAACGTATGACCTTTCCCCTGACAAGAAAAATGGGTGTGATCTAAGGTCAAAGTTTTTTTTTTTCCTTCTCTTCAAAAGTCAGCTACACTTTTGAGAACAAATTACAGCAGGAGTTTGATTAAACTGCTTTAAGTCTGTGCCAAATGTGTTAATGGCACAATCCCGTCAAGTGGGGTCAAATAATGGCCAATTAAAAGCCCATTTGAGAGCACCTACCGAGTAGGAAGTGGCAGGGTTCAGCTTCTGGATAGGTTTAAATCCTGTTGTCACAGAAATGTGATAAATGCCTTCCTCTCTAACCATTAAATTTATATGGCTCAAAGTCTTAAACTGCACATCAAAGCTTGGACACACACACTCAGTGAGCCTACCTTAAACACATTCACAACACACAGGAAAAGGGAATGCACTCTAATTATTGGGCACATGTTGTGCATTAAAATCCTGGAAGTTCAACTTCATATAATCCAAGTGTGCTGGCTGTGTGGAAACATACACTAAAATCCTCTTCAGAGGATAACTACCTGCAGATGGGAGATGCTCTTGGAAAGGAAAGTGCAGCAGCCATAGACTTGCATGGATACTTCCAAGGGTCATGAAATGTAATGGCTTTACCCTCAAAAGCAACAGCTGCTAAATCATGTTAGGGTAACTTTCTGCTTCTATAATGCCTATTGTCTCTGACACAGAGCAGGCCAAGGGCTGATGAGAAAGGCAGGAGCCAACAGAGGAAATACCCAGAGTGTGTGAGAGCGAAAGGGAAAAAGAGAACCCAGGAGGTATAAACTCAAGTTACAGGAATTCCTTTGGCCTTGTATCAGCGTCAGTGCAGGGTTAGGTTTCCTTACAAACATTCTCTGCTCCAAAGCTGCGGAGTGGGAGAGACAAAGCCAAGCCCACATATGTTTTCAGTGATAGTTTCCAATCTCACTTGGAGAAAAAGACTGGCAAAAATCTACAAAATGGGTAAAGATCAATTTCCGCAAATGACAAGAAAACTATGCAGCGGGGTGTCTACTAAGTCCTGTCGCCATGGTGATGAGTCAGACTGATGTGTAGGATTATCATATCATTAGACATTACTCAGATGAGTAGTGCATGTCTGTATGTCAGAGGCTGACATCACAGCACGCAGAGGGCACCCCTTCATGTAATCCAATTTTCTATTTCCTCTTCACACGCAGTATGGGAGCCTCTGCCTGACACAAGTCACAAATGATATTTAGACTGCCAATGCTGAAGTCCATACACAGTAACTATGTCTTCAAATATAACTTCCTTTCAAGCCATATACTGCAGAAATTAGTATTAACCTGACATTTTGTCTGTTTTCTTAAAGTAGCTACAACATTAGTCAAATAACAGTAATTACTATACAATTATGTATGGCTTATATAATTACTGTTTAATTGCAAATGTTGAAATGGTCTAAATGTAAAACAGTATTAGGCCAAAGGGATGTGCTTTTGGCCCAAATAAACCTAACACCTGACTGAAGGAAGTCCCAGAGTGGACAGTTACTCATATTTTATACTATATATAAATGAATTATAGGTAACCAGATCCATATATGAACAAAAGTAATTAAATGCTGGAGTTAAAAACTGATTTTTAAACTGTGAACTGGCACACATCACATTGGTGTTCTCTAAAGCACAAGGGATCACATAAGGATTCTTCATTTGCACAGTCTCTAATATCATGGAGCTAGTTGACAAAGGCTTGGCCAGTCCACCCAGGTAAAGACAAACAAGCCTTCTCCTGTGTCATTCCCTCCCCCAGGCCTGAGGCACTCAGGACCAAGGAGGCTTTACTGGAAGATGAATCTCTTACTGGAAAACTGAAGCCTATTTACTGGCACTGGTGGGGGAAGTTTGGAAGTCTGTGGGTCACTAAAAACCTAAATTGGAAATGTGAACCAACCTTTTTGAAACTTAATTAGGGTTTAGTTAAGTTTCAAACTATTACTTGTAAAAATAATGGAGATCAGGAAAAACATGACATTCAGGTTTTGTAATTGTCCAATAGAAACTAAAGTAAACTGCAGCTGTGTTTGGCTTATTCCAAAGGCCCCCCTTAAAAGATCCTTAAATTAAATCCTCCAACTTGTCTTTCCCATTATCAGAGAAAGGTTGGATCTCTACAGTGCCTCTTTGGTCAGGCCCTCTATCAGAGCCAAAAACATGTGTGCGTTACTGGGGCCTCTCTTAGACCTGAATGGACGGTGTGGTACAGATTAACTAGACTCTGCATGTGTCTCTGCATAGAAGTGTATGAGTGTGTGCGCGAATCCAGCTCAGCACACGTGCCTATGTGTCTCCAGGAAACTAGGTGAAGAGCCACTCTGGTCCCTTTGAACTTCAGGCCATATGGTCCCCTGTATAGCCCATACTACACAGTTAATCCAATTACACTATACGATATAAATGCTATTGTACGAGAGGGGGAGGGGTATAAGAATGTTTAAGTCCAAGGGCCTGTAAAGTCTCTTGTGCCGACATGATTGTTTACTGACATAACAATAAAACTAGAGAAAAAGAAATGTGATACTCAAGAGATAATGTGTGTCACTCACCTCATTGTCATGGTGCTGGCAGAAGCTCATGCGGTCCTGGAAGAGGGATAGTAGGGCAAAGTTATTCTGAAGGGACTGGGCAAGAGACACAGCCACTCCTGTCTGGCCTGGGTTGCTGTTAGCATTGGCTCTTCCTAAATGGAGACTCTCTCCTAAGCGTTCAATGAAGTGGTCCTTAGTCAGTCGCACTCTTTGATGTGCTCGCACACAATTGTCGCACAAATACTCCTGGCAGTCAAGGCAGTGAGACGTGGCTGGGTTCTCCTCATCACAGGAGCTGCACTGAGGCTCAGCCAGGTGGTTCAGAAGGCCTCCGTGTGGGTGAGGAAAGCTGGAGGAGCAGCTGCCCAGACCACGGTGATGATGACCATTCTTGTTCTGGATCTGCTCCTCTGAGCTTACCACCACATCAAGCAAGTTGCTGAAAAGAAAGTTGGAAGAAGGCAAGGAGTCCACACCAGCTTCAGAGATAGACACCTTCTGGTCACAAGTGGGGCAGCGCAGCTTGAGCGGGTCTCCAGGACTTCGCTGTCCCTCTAGGCACTGCCTGCAAAAGGCATGGAGGCAGGGTAAGACGTGCAGCCTCCTGGTGGTCTGAGAGGAGGAGGATGAGGTATGTGAGGAGGAAGATGAGGTAGAAGAACTGGAGGAGATGGGTGCAGAGGAGCCACACAGCTCCTTGCAGAGTGGGCATGTCTGCAGCTCTGAGTCTGGAAACGAAGCCATCTGCAGCAAAACGCAGGCTCAGTTTATAACATCAATGTTGCTGAGGTATTCATTTGAGGACACATGGGTCCGCAGTGTTGTCTATAAATTCAATTGGTGCTTGAGGTAGATTCTTGAGGTACTTAAGTTTAAACAGTGGAAACGGTGGATTGAGTCATACGGATACGGATCTGCAGCTTATAGATCTCTGGCAAAACGCAAACAAGTGATAGACAATTCTAGTTAATTGCACACTTTTTGGACTTTCTACACATACAGCAGACCATTTAAATGTCTATTTTAACTGTGTTTGGTAAGGCTTTGTGTAAGAAAGGCTCTAAAAAAATAACCAAATGACAACAGGCGGTGTGCACTCGTTTGAAACTCATAAGATCCGACAGAATTTGTAGTGGCACTGGATCTGTGCAGAAGTACGGGGGGCTACGTCTCTCCTCCCCCACCGATTTTTCGACATGACTACAGGGCTCTGTATTTCAAATATCTAGGCCACTAATCATAATATACAGTTCTTCTCCAGCTTAAGCCCGTCTCGTTGAGGCGTTTCAGGTCTAGTCCACCATCGGTGTTGGTTCACGCGGCGTTACGCGCAGCCTGTTTTCAGTTGATAGTTGCAGCGCTTGCCACGATCCGCGGGGATTGTAAATTATTCATCAAAGCGCAGATCCCACAGTGTGGAGCGAGTCATTGAGGCGCCATAAACAAACAGGAGCAAGGGGAGAGGACGTTTACGCGGAGTCCGTGAGTAAATTCATCGGTGCAGCGTCTGAAGAGGCCGCCTGGTGCTCTTTTCGAAGGCAGCCCGTTGGTAACCCGTCCCTGCCTGGCTGTGCGTGGAGGAATGCGCAGCCAGGAGACTCCTGGAACGTGCCCGAAGTGAAAACCTCCTATGGCATATAGGTCTACATTTAAAGCGTGTCTTGATCTCCTTTTTTCTGTTTATTTGCGTTCGCTTCCACGCCAACGGGAGACGTCCCAAGCGCTCTCGCAGGCCCGTGGTACTTTGGCGATGGCTCTTGCAGTGGCTCTAGTCCGACTGAGGAAAAAACAGACCGACTTCCGCCCTGGGGAGGAGACATGGGCGTGAGCGAGAACAGGCGCGCTCACGAACATCTAGGCTATAGGCGAAAGGGTGCTCGTGCGCGTGTGCTGTCATCGCATAGTTTTCTCCTCGCTGCTCATTACTGATGTAGGTTAGTTAGATGACACTTTAGCTTGTTCAGTTGTTGCTACTGAGTTTAATACATTGGTTTCCAAAAGCAGAGCATGGGAATATGACTTCACCCTGGCTTTACCTCTACAACGCTAATACATTTAATCTTTTACCTAAATTAAGCTCTTCTCTTCTAGGTGGGTACAGTAAAAATCGGTCTATTGAAGTATTTGGCCAATAAATTATAAATAGGACTTGAGCTGTGATATATGTTACGGGGCCATTCTCACAAAACTGTGGCCTGGATGAAACTCTTTTTGTATATATTCTTTCCGTTATTTACAAGACAATGTATGACTAATGGAGCGGTTGAATCAGGCCTTCGACAGTGTTTATCAGGAAGGCGTAAGCCAAGTATGAGGTACGTTTTGAGGTTAAACTTTCTGGGGTAATATCAATTCTTAATAGATTAGCTATACATTTAAATTGCCAACCTGTGTGAGAAAGAGCCTATAATGAAATAAACTATTTTGCGAGAAGTAGTGCATTTTTTCATTCCGCTTCAGCAAGCATACTTAAATAAATGTAAGGGTAATAGGCCACTACACCAGTCACGGTATCCAAGAAAATAGTTATTTTCATCTTATAAAAAATTACCAAATATGACAAATATCTCCCCCTAGTGACAAACCTGAGTACACAATAAAATTTACAAGACGCGCTTAATGTTCTTTATTGTTGTATACCAAACCAAAAAAAAAAAAACAAGCAAACAATTACAACGGAAGGCTTTAAGAATAAGGCAACCTGAAAGATAAATTTATGCTTACATAAAAATGAGCTTATCTCAAACATTCATAACAAGTCAAACAGATGATGTAAATAAACATGTAGTTTATTTTTATGTGAACAGAAAGATCTGTTTTATAAAACCCGATGAAAAAAGGAAAATCACACCTTTTGAACCAGCAACTGTCTATTGTAGTCCAGTACCACAATACTATAAAAGTAATAACCCATATAAATATACATTTATATTTACATTCAAAGGTATAAAACACTTTTTAACTAAAGTATAGTAAAATTACTAAAGAGATGCTTAATTTTAATGTTACAAAAACACTGAGTTATAGACCTTCTTTAACTCAATAATTACAATTTTCTTTACATATTTTGAACAATAACTTTGCTTTGAAACAAACGATCAGTGTTCTGTGATCAGATCTGTTTTACAGATGTGTGTAATTGAGAGAATCCAACATAAAGTATTGTTCAGATTTCATCTGTTTACTGTCAGTTTTTATTTAGACAGAAGTGGATGAATTTTGAAATGAAAATGTATTAGAGGTATGAAAAAAGATATAATTTTTAAGTAGAAAGGGTCCAAACCTCATTGGCCCATAAATGATTATGTCGAAGCCACCGGCGAGCAGAGGCAATGTCAAGTGTGAAGATTTGCTCCTGTGTGGAATTCACAGCCATGTAGCGAACACCAAGTTTGGGCTGTGGAATACAAGCCGCAGCGAGCAGGCGACTACCAGCAGAAAGATAGTCACTTTCACTACTTTGAGTTCTAGATAGGAAAAAAACACAGCTATTAGGTGGGCTACATGTGTTTGACACAAACAGCAATAGCTGGAGTCAAATTTAATATTGAAATGTATATTGCTGATTGTGTTTACACATTTTATAAAGTTTCATCTTCAGATATAATCAAATAAAACAGACTAGGTTCACTTTATTTTTAAAATGTATGCCATTTTTAGTTACCTAATGAGAGTGATGGTCATAGTAGAGGTGGTGCTTTCTGGGAGAGCAAGAATGGCAGTTGCATTCATTGTAATGAACATCTCGAATGTGAGAGCCAGTTCAATTTCTCCCAGCTGAGATGGGACCATCAAAGTCATCAATCCAAGAGGGGCAGACACCCCAGGGTGATAGCCTTTTCTCATTGAGTCTGTTGCATTTAATAGAAAGAGATCAGAAAAAAAACATAGCTTCACTATTTTACCTATGCATAAATCTCTGAAAAGTGCATACATTTTTATCAACTCCAAACTTACTTTTGAAGATTTCTCGTGCCTTGAGCCAAAAATTTTGTTTTCCCAGTCTATGCAGAAGCATTTGCAGCATGGTATGGTCTACGGGTAAGTTTTTGGAGAGCATAAAGTTCACCAGATCTGATGCCAACACCACTATCTGTCGGTCTAGACACACTTGCAGATGAGCAGTAAAGAAAGTAGTATACTTGGAGATGTCGATGTGGCCTAAGATTGGATAGAAAGGGTTCAACACAAGTACCAATACAGTGCAGAAGACATAACAGTTTTAAAATACCATTTGGCTCCTTAAGCCCAGGCAGATTGCTGAGGACCTCTAGGGTATCTCTGTGAGAAGTTTTTTCAGCCAGACTCAACAATACATGTGTGCGCTTTTCCAGATCTGCAGCCTCACAAGGCCAGGCACTGGACATCAGGAACCATTCGTTTTCTAGATAAACCCAAGATCATTCTGTTACAATTGAATTTTCAGCATGTTTTAAGAATAGTCCTTACAATAATCAGTTTCACTCACCTCTTAATATGTTTAAAGCTCCTTCAACGCTTCCATTTAAAAGGAAGAGCTCAGTTGCCACAGATATAAGGTGGCAGCGTGATGTACAATCTTCATTCCCAAACAATCCTTTCATTGTTGCATAGCTGACCTTTGCAGCAGACAGCACTTCCACAACTTTTTGACCCTATTTTAGAAAAAAAAATCCAAAATCTACGTAGATCAAAATGGCATAGTAAAATAACAAGTATTTTATCTTTACCTTAGCCCACTGGTGAGTTTTATGGTATCGCAACATAAGTGAAACCCCAATTCTACCCAGACAACTTTTAACAGGGCTATCTTCATCCACATTGTGACCAGCTGCCAAACATAACAAAGGATTTCTTATGGAATGTATATTTAGTGTATTCCCTCAGCAAAATGTTTTCAAAATACTCTACCAGTCTCAGCAAAGACAGCAAATGGCAGAGTCAGCCTGTCTTTGCTTTCAGACAGGAGTGCCACTGCTACTCGACCACTGATACGCTCCACTTGGCTGACTTGGTTTGATTGACAAATGAACTGAAAAACCTCCCCTAGTCTTTTCCAGTCTTCTTGTTTTGTACAAAGCTTATATCAAACACAGACGTAATTTTAAAAAAAACAAAGACTGGAAAATACCAAAAAGAGCATATAAATAATGTTCAACTATTTACTGACCTCCATCTCAACCACAGCATGAGCTAGATTAAGGTACTCTGGATGTGTTACCAATCTTGGAAAAATACATAAAGTCAGGTAACATACTACTGAGAAAATTATAACTAAAAGTTTTGGTCCAGTCACCTGTGTCCAGAAAGAGATTTGTGAGAATTAGAAGAAAACATATGATGCAAGTCAGGAGTATTCTTCACACAGTCCAGACAATCCAAACTTAGAGGTAAGCCAGCACTAGCCATCTGTCAAAATAAAAAGGGTTTATGATTAAACATTTTCAGTTTTATTATATCAATACTTTTTTCCACAATAAAATGCAATTTGGGTTACCTTAAATGTGAGCTGGATAAGTTCTGGTACAAAACTCATGAGACTTTTTTCTCTGATGAAGTTGAAAAGATCGAGAAGAAACTCATACTCAGGCTGGAAAACACCAGACAAAACAAATATAAACTGACTAATAAAGAAAAACCTGCACACTCTGTAAGTGTAAGTGTACTGACCACTATGTTATGGGTCAAACTGGTTCTGAGAACTGAAAAAACATCAGACAACATTCCAGCTTGGAGAAGACCCCGGAGAAGAGAGACAAGCACTGGCTTAGAAAAAAACACCGCTGGTTTGTTGTTTTGGTAGTAGCCGGTATATACAGACGCTACAGAAGAAATGATTTACATAACTAGGTTAGTTTTTACAATTTAGCTTCATATTCAAATATAAATACAACACACACCTGCTTTATGAAGGCATGCTGGAGTTTTAGTAAACCTTGCCACAGTTTCTGTACAAAACTACATAAAAAATTATGAGGCAAAAAATAATAATTACCAGGCATACACAGCAGAGGGTGTTGTTGCCTCTGCAATGTGTAGTATATCGAATGATATGAAAGGCTCACCTTCTCATCACCCTCCATAGGCACATGGTGGAAACGACACAGTTTAAAGCCACAGTTTTGTGAATCACTGAAGTAGTGTCTGCAGTACTGAGAATTTAGACAATATTAGTGTATTTTTTTCAAACTTGCAAAAGCAAGTACTTCACTGTTAATTCTGTCACTTACTGCAGGTTTCTGCCATCTAATATCAGCAGCACTTTGTGAGTTTGTCATCCATGTAACAAGCCCTGCACAGTACAGTGCAGCAGTTACAAGATTTACGAATTACAGAAATATAATTATTAAAGGTTGTTTTCTTACCAAGTCTTGAGGCCAACTGGGGGGAAATATGATTAAGGTTTTCAGTTGGAAAATGGTCTGTTCTGTTAATAAACCATGTTATAAGCAAAAATTTAAACATAGTAAATAAACTGCATTTACACTTTTAATTATTGTTTTATTAACCTTTATTTAACTGGGTGAAAAACTGATTGAGATTAAAATATCTTTTTCAAGAGGGACCTGGGCCAAAGTGATAGAATATAAAAAATGCATACCTCTCCTCTTCAGAATTCACAACTCTTGCTTCAGCTGAACACTAAAAACATACAAAACATTGTGAAATATATTTATTAACATTATTATTTAAAGGTAAGAAATCAAATATTTCATAAATACACCAAATTTAACATTGTATTAAACATTTAAAAATTAAAGTTCCACTTAAATCTGCCCCTTTTCTCAAGTTCAAATAATCCTTCACATAATATTGATAAAGTACTTAAATTTACTTTAAAAAAATAATAAAATACTTCACTTAAAATAACTGGTACATGTACTGGTAATTTTTCTCATTCTTCATGAAATCTTAAAGATTACCATGCTTTTGATATGCTTTTTAGTGTTACTGTGCAGAGCAGAGGTGCTGTTGCATTGGGGTCTCCATGGCCTTCGGGGGCTCTCCTCTAAACAAGACCACAGAGGTGTAGAATAATTACATCACTGTTGTGGGAAAGTGGACATAATAACAAGGCTTTTTGGAGAGTACCTGGACTGTGGTGCAGGAAGTTCAGATTTACAGGAGTAACACTGTAAGAAATTATTTCATTACTATGCCTGGCAAACTACACCAAACTGTTTTGTTAAACAAAATGGAAATGTACAATACCTGTGAGTCCTCTTGCATGATTCAGGAACAGGGGAAAATATTTTTACCATTTTCTTGCGCTCTGTTTCCGCAGTGTCACATGTCCTGACCGGTCCTAGTTTTAGGAGACTTTTCTGTGGCACCTTTTCAAAAAGGTCAGGGTCGTCTTGGAAAACATCAACAAGCAGAATATCTTGTTCATAGGCTTCAATCTCATCCAGAACCTCAGGCTTCTCCAAATCTTCTTCAGGGTCTTGGTTTTCTGATTGTTCAGGTGTACAAGACTCTTTGTCTACAGAAGCTTCACCATTGCTTTGTTCCTCATTTTCAGTATTGCTGGGAGAAAAGCCAGAGTCTGTCAAATAAGTCAAGGCAGGAGGTGACGTGTCTGTGACCAATGACTCCATGTTCGGTGGTTCCACAAATGTGGAGACATCATTCTTAGTTGGGAAAGTTTTCTTTTGCTGCCAACCACTATCATAATCCTTTTCATTGATGTCACACATTTCTGGGGTGGGATTTTCAAATGGCATTTTGTGATTGTGCCTATGACTGTTTTTATTTTCAAACTCAACTGAATTTGAAGAAACATTGTGTTTCACAGGTGAGTTAAGAGGAGAAAGCAGTGGTGGGAGATTAAGATTAGGGTCTATATAATTATTTTTGCAGGCATTTGTTAGCCGATTTGTTAAATGATTTAAAGGGCTAGTTTTGAAATACGGTTCCAGTTTTGGAGGGGAGTGATATGTAATAATTTCATCCCAAGACACTTCCACATCTTGAGGCAGGAGAGAAGATGAGTTACAGGAATCATTTGAGTCGAAGTTGACTACAGTTTCCACTTGCGGCAGGGTAATCCTAAAGACATTAGGTGTTGATGTTGTGAGAGGAATCAGTGAACTTGAGATGCTGCTTAAGCAGCTATTTGTATCCATGAAAGATGCAGTAGACATGTTAGGGGCAGTATCTGTCGAGCCAAGTCTGGATGAGGAGGGGGTAGACCTTCTACTGTTATTATTCGGGGAGGGGGACTGAGCTGTTTGCACAGATGCTGATCCTCGAGATAACCATGTGGTGAAGTCTTTACAAAAACTGTTCTGTTTTTGTGGAAGTATCATCACACTTGGTTGAGAGGAGTGTGATGGATACAGACTGTTTATGTTCCTTATAATGTCCGAAGACACACCCACAACATTATCAGCCTTTTTTAAAGCCTCTTCTTTGTCATTTTCCTCTGCTCCTAGCCTTTGGTTAGAAATAGAAAACCTCTTTTGTGGAAGCCGATTTGGATCTGTGGGTTCATGTCCAGCCCTCGAGTCTCCATTTCCAGCAGTTTCAGGGATCTTTTTTCTTGACAAAAAGGGCCATGTCAAGTATGTGCGTGCACATGTGATGCTATTCTTTCCTTGGTACACCCTGACCCGTTGGCAGGTGAATGAGTCTAAGTTCTCTGCATTCTCCAAAGTAGGACCATTTAGGTTCATTGACTGTCCACCTCTAGATTCTGCTTCAGTACAGACTGGACTGCACATCTGTGCTGGTGACTCTGACTGATCTTCCACACAATTAACAGATCCAAAGGGGTCTATGCAAAAAAGGTTTTTGCGATGGGAATCCTCTGACAAAATGTCTGCCTTCCCACCCAATTCCACATTGTTAGCATGCAGGTCCTTTTCCAAAGTGCTTTGGATGTAATCAGTACACCCTTTCTGCATGCCATTCATGCTCAGCTTGAGTCTGTGTTCAGTGGAACAGCAGGCAGACACATTGCTTTCCTGTTCTCTATGGCTGGATAATGCCCCTGAATCAGTGTTGTTTGTCACATCCTTAGTTTGCTCATTGGAATTTGTCAACTGAGAAAAAATTCTCTCTGAATCTAACCTGGGCAGTCTTCCATTATTTAGAACTTGAACACTTTCATTAAATGAATGTTTTTTCTGGACCAGACAGCCAGGCTCGAACCTAAAGCCAGCTCTCATTTCTTTTGTAAAGCAGCAAACAAGTTTTGATTTAACATTATCTGGAATCACAAAGCTGCATTTCTGCTTGCATTCAACACAGATGGGGCCTATGTTGCAAAGATTCACTTTGGGGTAGAGGCCTTCCTGTAACAGAACTGTCTTGCTATCTTGGTGGAGTTTACCTACTGTGCTTTGCTCCTCTGGTGTGTGACAGCCATATGGTGAAATTCCTTTTATGGCCCTCTTGGAGTTAGCAAACACAAAAGGAAGTAAATTAATGTATTCACCAAAACCTGCAAGCAAAAAGGTAAAATATGTTGAGAGAGACATGTTCAGAGTTTTGGACAACAATAGGGAATGCCTATGTTTCCACAGCTGTATGTTTCCACAAAGCTGTTTTTTAAAAGATATTTTCAAAAATTAATCCATATCACCTCCGCTCAACCTTAACCAGAGAATCTCAAAACCAGGCCCAAACCTGGACCTTGTACCCTACTACCCAACAAATGGGGCAATAGAGACATGGGGCCGTACAACACTTTGAGCAAAATGTTGTAACAAACGTGGGAACATAAAGACGTGGGGATTATGGGCTGACTCCAAAAAAGGCATTAAATTGGTCAAATAGAGAATAGCTTTTCATTTCAGCATGGTGGCCAAATGGATCCGCGAATTTTATTAGGATTAGCTCTTATAGTCTATGAATTAGCTTAGCACTGAGTTTACGATTTCTGCATTGTGGGTGATTGACAAATACAAACTTTTTAAAAACTGTTATGTGGTTTCAAGACGAACTGTTTCATTGATACTCTGCACAACACGGACCAACGCGGGTTAAATAAAGACAAAGATAAAGTTCACCTACTTGTTAACTCGGAGCTCAGCGCACACGGCGCTGCTCGGTCTCGGCCTCGCGCTGCTGTGGACACTTTTCTAGATGAACTCTTTGCACAGTCTTGTCCATTTCCAAACCCACACCAACCTCCTGCCACACGAGCCTTATAGAGTTTGCCTTGGCAAACTTTTTTTATTTTCTGAGTTGAATGCTTCTTAATGTCCTGTCTTCTTTTACCTTCCTGGCGATTCCCTAAACGATGGTCGCTCTTCGGTGCACGTTGTGTGGGTGTGGAACCTTGTGTCCGGCGTGCGGGTTTTTCTGGACCAGCACAGCAGCAGCACATGAACTTCATCTTTCTGACTACGTCCTGTCTATGCATGTTCCTAGTGTTGGGCTTGCTCTGCCGGTGCTTTCCTCTCGTGAACGGTCCCCCTTGTTGCGTCCATGACATTACATTATTTTGCAAATTTGCTAAACCTACGCTTTCATTTGAGTCGAATCTGCAGTTTTTCAAAGACTCCACTGTTTTTTTCCTGTGCGGCCCTACCTGTAGTCCCACGTCGTTTTTCTGTTTGCGTTTTACCTTTTGAGAAGATGGATCCATTTTAGATTAGAAAACTAAAAGATCGACATCTTAACGACACCATTACAAACTATTCAAAATCGTTTGGGGTGTTTTACGTCATTTAAAAATAAGACAGTCATAGCCTAACTACTTTTATTTACAGTAGAACAGCAAATCTTAGGTCTTCGTTCTGTTACTGCGCAATGCACAAGAGACGCACAAGTTCGCAATGTCTGGATGTGCCTACTGCAAATACATCCTAAATTAGAACTTTAGAAATTCGCCGTTTTATTTACAGACCTATAATGCTCATAATCTACAAATACCCATACATCTATTTAAAAGGGTGGCGTACTTATAAAAGTGTGCACAAGATTAGGGCCTGTGTGTAAAAGCCATAGACTGTATACCCAGTCTATGATGTTAATTTCGGCAGTATTAGATTAGTCTTTTATTAAAAAAATAAAAATAAAAACTTGATTAAACGGCTGAAAGCTGAAAAAATATATGTTAAACAGCAGTCTGCAAAGTCTGCTCTGGTCACTCAAAGCAGGAGATGCGGGCCATGTGTGGAACAGATAAACGGTGACCATTCGGTTGGCCTCAGTCTGTGGTTGGCCTACATACTGTCACAATAAGGTGACTAATATAACCATCAAACATAAACTTTATTTTTCACCATTTGATCAAATTCAAGTAAAATGTGCAGGTCTACGTTGCATAAAACTCATTTTACACACAAGCCTTATTCTTAATAGGCAAAAAAAAAGCTACTTAAGTTCATCGTGAGCAGCAGCAGCTATAACTCTCTGCAATTTGAAGTATTTCCCACATGTCTATAGGTCTAAGCAGGCTATAGCATCTTCAAGCAAGGAGGATGAGTGGTGTAGAAGAGACCCTGGTGTTGGGAAGTAGCCGGTCCCTGGACTGTGGCGGCCTGATTCACAACACCAGCTGCCCCTCCTCACCGGACCAGAAGATGGCGCTCTCGTGCAGAAGCATAAAGCCATTAGGATTGAAGGGAAAGGGTTCCATCCATAGTTCCATCTCATTAGGTTCCTTCTGGGGGTGCAGCGTTGGCTCTCCCACTCTCATAAGGCTGCTACATCTGTGACAGCTGTGAAGAGAATACACATGCAAATGAGAATCAGGAATCCACTCAGTGTGAGAGACACAGGGAGAACTTTATCTGCACTCTACATGTTAATTTCCCATCACTGATTGAGGCATAAAAGATACTGAGCCTGTGCTTGTGGTAGGAATTTAGCCTCTTGCAGTAGTGGTGCCGCTCCACCTCAGCACACCAACATTTTAAATGCAAATTTTATAATCACACTTAGCAATAAGGGACATCTCTGTGTATGTAGCCTTGTGAAGGGGGGATATAAGCTTTTACTTAGCATATGAAATGAGTAGGGATTAAAATAAGATACAGAAAATGCATGAACAGGAAGTGGTATGAGAGGTCATTCATTATTTTGTGTCAGTTAAGAAGTTAACAGTTATATTTTCGTACAAGCCTAGTAAACGTGCAGCAAATTAAGAAATGTTTGTTTAAACAGTCTATGTGAGTAGTTTCATAGATTCATACTTCTGTAGAATTTGTTCAGTGGAGAACGTAAGAAGTGAACAATTGTACAACACTTACTTGGACTAATTAGACTTCATTTTGACATTGGCTACTACAATCATTTATTTTAATAAGTAGACAAAATAGTCAAATTATAGACTGTGTGTATATGACAGAAAACATTTCAGTTTAAGATACGTCTGGTTTGTTCAGCCCAATTTCTTTGTCTTTGGCTGGGCCAGTGTGAAGCTGACGGCAATGCAAGCAGCAGCTGAATTCCTTTAAATAGCCTTGCCTGCTTCATCATATGGTTGCTATGGTAGCCAGCCCCTAGTTTCGAGATAACGTCCACATGCTTCACGAGACCTCCTCCACCTGCATGCTATATACATCACACGCTTCTCCAGCACTTTACGGCACACATGTACTATTTGTCTTTACAGTTGTAAAATGTCACAAGGTATTTTTTGACTTTTCTGCTATCATAAATTCATGCAGTGAGAATTATGAAATAATTTTACAATAATGAATAGATTTGAGGGGAATGGATTAAGAGTGAAACAGATGAGCACACAGCTGGGGCAAGAAATGAAGTGACACGGAGAGAAATGAGGGGTGTAAAGGACTATGAATGATCAGTGACATTTTAGAGAGGCTAAATGAATTAAAAGATTGCTGTAGATAGTATTGTAAGCTATAAGAATTATGGAAAATGTCATCTTTTAAAAGATGCCTCTTTTTGTTCAAATGAACTCTCTCTGATTATTTAACTGTATATTTTCTCTTATCCTCTCATTTCTGTTCATTCCCAGCCCCCTTCCTTTGTCTGGCATCCTGCTTCCTTTCTCACCCCCTCATTCTCCTGTTTCTGCACAAGCTCTCAATTAGTCATATGTTTAGACCATCAACTAGCTCAAACATTTACCATATATCGCTGCATAGGCAGCTCTTGACCTATCCTGGCATTCTCCAAAGTGCACTCTTTAAAGGTTTGTGGGCCTTATAGGTGGAATTATAGGGAGACATTAATAACAAAATATCAGAATAATTATTTGCTTTGATGACCAGGAGAAAAGCACGTGTTATCAATATAAATGTGTATTATGATGATGATGATGATGATGGTGATTATTATTATTGTTATTATTATTACAAACATTGAATAAAATCAGCAAATTCATTTGAAAAAAGCAGTAATTCTATCTCATATGCATACAAGACAAAGAACAAATTTAAATACATTTAAATGACAGAATTGAAAAGAGACGGAAAAAAAATGTCCCCAGACAAATGTTTTTCAATTGCTCAATTAAATATCAGTTGCTATTTAATGTTTCTGCAACTAAAATTAGAGCCAATACAATGTTGTCGGATAGGCTGTTTCATTAGAACAGGACAGATGGGATAGTCTATGAACAGAAAATAGAAAGTACATCCAAATAGCACATTTAAATGACTTGAGCAGCCGTTTATAATTAAATATATACTAAAACAAATGTTTTTATGTTGAGCATTTTTGAGTCTGGAAACCTGGAACAGATATTGGATTTGCTTTATTAAGATTTTCTTAACTAAAACATTTATAACATTAAATAAAATAAAATGATGGCTAGACAAACTTAATATTGTTTTTTTCTGACAGAGATTGATAAAAATTACTGGGTCAAAGCCATATACATCAGCACACATCCAAGTCGATCATAAGCATAGCCAATTCTGTGTAGTACTTAAGGTTTTTTTTTGGCATTTTTTGGACATTCATCTACTCTGTATATATAACATTGATGTGAATAATTGATGTTTGGATGGGGAAGTCAAATGGATGTCAGTAAAGATGGCACCCTCCATTTCCTCTTAAAACACACAGGCTAGCTGATTGCATTTGAGAGAGCAGGGCGCGCCTCAGCATCTCCTAATGCGTCTGTAAATTGAGTTGGAAAATGACGATGACTGTTGTCTGCTCCCAGGATGAGGAGCAGGGAGGAAGAGGCTTGTTTCTCGTCATTTTAAATCTGACACTATTAACCAGCAGGCCCTCACTTGTGTCAAACATTATACTTGTTTTTACCATTTCACCTCGTGCTGAGTGTGGCAGAAAGCAACATTGTTTTTCTTTTCACAACCTGCTGTGGCCTTGCTGTCTCCCATCTCCAAACTAGGATCTGTTAATGCATGATTTAGAGTATTATTATTACCTACAGTACACAATGGCGCCCTGTCAAGTATTAGTAAATACAAATGACTACATAAAAATGACTCCCTTGTAAGCCTGTGGTTGTCAACTCTGAGAGCAGTTGTGCAGTAATTTCAAAACATCAGTTTCTGTTTTTTCATTTTGATATAAAGAATTATATAACCACAATCACATATTTTCAGAAACAGAAACCTTGCCATTAAAGGGGAAATAATTTAAGATTATATAGATTTATTAAGGGGAGAAGAAAACAATTCACATAGTGAATACAAAATAAAATAGGCTATGTATTTTCATTGGGATTGTAGATTATATAATTTATTATATATATAAAAGTGTATAATGAATAAATGCATATACATTAGACAAGCTTCACTGTGTACTTTCAAGGTAGATCCTCTTTTTAATTTGAGTTGAATAAATGAAACAAATTGCTTATTCTAATAATTTAATAACGTCTACATGTAAAATAACTTACTTTGCCATAATCTTTTAAAACTTAGTTTGTACCCCCGGTACAGTGAAGTCAAACGGATTATCCTTTCTACTGTCCTATTAGCCTTCTCTACAGTGTTGTACATGAAAGGTTTACTCTCACGTACGATTATATGCAGGCACATCCGCTGACACACCCAGTGCCAGCCAGATGCATACAAGCGGAAATCGCTTTATATTCACTACTTCTACAGCCTCGGAGTGGCTGTCTGTGTCTTTAGGCTATTCACTGGGACACAGTGGCCACACTTCTGCTTGACAAATGCATTAGAAACACGGCACAGATTTTACAGTGTAAGGCCGACCCTGTCACATTCAAGTCTCTGAACATTCACAATCACACACAAGTGCACACACGCACCCACACACTCACAATAAGCACTGGCAGTCATTTAGTCCAGCTTTGTCTCTTTATAGCGGATCCGTGTTAAACGGCAGAGCATGCCACCCATGCAATATTTGAAATATTATTCAAATGCCTGGGTTTAGACTTAAGATAGTAGAAGGAAAAAGCTTTAGGAAACATTTCTGTACAAGGAGTATATGGGCAATGTT